GGAATTGAACCAGGGACCCTTCAGTCCACAGGCTGATCCTTTATCCATGGAGCCAAACCAGCTACGGTTTTGCTCCATTTTTTAATAGATTGTTTTTGTTTTTGTTAATGGTCACCTGAGGATATTTTTTCCCACTGAGTTTTAGAGGGAATGGAAGGGACGGAGAGAGACAGAGAGAGAAACATTGTTGTGAGAGAGACACACTGATTGGTTGCCGAAACCAGGGTATGTGCCTGGCCAGGAGTTGAACCCGCCACCTTTTGTTGTACAGGGCCTTTCTGCTCAATTTTGCTATGAAACTAAAACTTCTCTAAAAATAAAAATCAATTAAAAAAATAAAAAGCACTGCCCAGCCGGCATGGCGCAGGCGTTGAGCATCAAGGTTTGATTCACTTGAGGGCACATGCCTGGGTTTGAGCTCCATCCCCAACAAAGTTCATGCAGGAGGCAGTCAGTTGATGCTGTTGTTTCTTTCTCATCAATGTTTCTGTCTGTCTCTCTCCCACTCCCTTCCTCTCTCTCTAAAAAGTCAATAAGAACATATTTTAAAAAATAAAATAAAAAGCACTGGCACCCACAATCTGGACTCTGATGCACCTGCCACACCCAGTAACCAGGGGGTAGAGTGTCAGCCACCAAGAAGCAGAGGAGCTTTGGGATGGATGAGAAACAGAAAATGCCTGGGGCCCTGGGGCCTGCGAAGCCACCACCTCACCTTTCCTGTTGGACAAGCTCACAGCCATAATCTCCCAGGTGGTGATGGAGTCTCTTAAAATCACCTCTATGGTCTTGGAGGAGACTCTAGATGGAGGAGAAATGGGGGCCTTAGGAGAAGATGTGGTGGAGGGGAGAGCAGGTAATGAGGAGGCAGGTTGGAGGTGGGGTGTGGGCACGTGGAGGTTTTTCTAGGTTGGGTTGTGGAGTTCCACTAGATTCCAGAAAACAGAGGAGGTTGAGGTGCATGCAAATTAAATGTTCTGGTCCTGAGTGTTGGTAGGAAGTGCCTGGGGGTGGGTTGGAATGAGGGGTGCCCCAGCCTTACCCATTTTTCTCTGGATCCTTTAACTCCTCGATGTTCCACAGCCAACTCTCAGGGAACTGGCTTCTAGAAACGATGTCTTCTTCTGGAATGATCTCATCCTCTAAACCTGGGCAGGTGGGGGGCAATCTGGGTTTAGAGCAGACCCACTTCCCTGCTGTCCCCTTAGATACTCATCTCTACAGCCCTGGAGGGGTTCCTGGCAGCCAAACACACCCACGGACAAATGATGAATTGTCTGTAAGTTAAAGTCTGTTTCCCTTTGAAGGCTCATGCCTCCATAAAAATGTTAAAAGTCATATTTTATACAAGGGTGTTAGTATAAAGGCAAGGATAATGCAGGCTAGGAGAAGTCATTTCCCCTGATTTACAAGAAACAAAAGCATTTTCATAAGCTTCTTTCTTAAGGTCTTTAATTTCTTTATTGGTTAAGGTATTACAAATGTGTCCTCTAAAGGTATCCTGACCCCTGGCACGATGCCTGCTGCGTCAGAAGTGACGTTGGTCCTGAGAGCAACCAGGT